TTACAAACTCCTTTCCCTTCCCCTCCCCACAACAGACACCCTGTGAGGTGGGTGGGGCTGAGAGAACTCTGACACAAACTGCTCTTTTTCAAGGACAGCTGTGCCAGAGCTTGTGACTGACCCAAGGTCACATCAGCAGCTGCAAGTGGAGGAGTGGGGAATCAAACCTGGTTCTCCCAGATTAGAGTACGCACACTTAACCACTACACCAAACTGGCTCTATCATTTCTTTCTTATCCTCTCCACCTAAGCTGATACACACACAGTTAAACTAAAAAATAATATCAGTTTATTGGGCCCACCACCCAAAAAAAGCAAAATGGGGTGGAAAGTGCCGTTAAGTCACAGCGAACGTATGGAGACCCCAATACGGTTTTCAAGGCAAGAGATGTTCGGAGGTGGCTCGCCACTGCCTGTCTCCACGTCACAACCAGTGTTCCCTCTGATATGAGTTAGTGTGAGCTAGCTCTCAGGTTTTTAGCCCCCAGCTCACAGATTTTTGTCTCAGCTCAGGAAGGAGGGCTCCAGAGCAAACTAATTGACGCAGCAGCCAAATGGCTCGCTCACAACTTTAATGCCAGGAGCTCACAAAGCGGAATTTTTGCTCGCAAGACACCCTGTGAGGTCGGTGTGGCTGAGAGAGCTCTGACAGAAACTGCTCTTTTTCAAGAACAGCCCTTATCAGAACTACGGCTTGCCCAAGGTCATCCAGCCAGGTGCAAGTGGAGGAGTGGGGAATCAAACCCGGTTTTCCCAGGTCAGAGTCCGCGCACTTAACCACTACACCAAACTGACCCTTATACATCAGAGTGGTCACAGGCCATAGTGAAAAAGGTGGGTACCCTAGGTATTGATCTGGAGCCCCTCTATAACTGTGGTGAGGTAGCAATCTTGCAGGTGGTGAGGAGAATTTGGGATATAGAGGCGCAGATCATTAATGCCGGTAGTCTTGGAGTTTGTTCTCCCTATTCATTACCCCTCCTCCCCTTGCATACCTCCATGGTACATATATCGCCTAATTTACAATTCCGGTTTTTAGGAGGGTTTTTATGCTTGCAAGGTTCAACCTTTTCCCCTCAGTAGTGGTCTCCGGTAGATACAGGGGTGTGCCGTACAAGGATAGACTGTGTAACTGTAATCTTGGGGAACCTGATTCTATCAGCCATATTCTCTTTCGCTGTCCTAAATATTGCGCTATGCGCAATGTGTTGATTCGCCCGCTTCTCCCTGTGCAGAAAGATTTTCTGGATAGGGATTTAAATTTCTTTCTAGCAGACAAGAGTCCAGCAATAACACTATCTGTCACTGAATTTTTGACTTATGTATGGAAGTCAAGAGTAGTACTCTGTAAATCTCGTAAAGCATGTTAGGATTGCTTTGTATTTTGAGATATTGGGAATGTTGGTTGATGTTGTTTTAGTACTATCCCTTAAATTTTGCCTTTGTTCTGGTTATCTGTGTTATGCCAATAAAGGTTTTCTGTTCTGCTCGCAAGACTCCACAGCTTAGAGGGAGCATTGGTCACAACCCTGGTATTCCTGAAGGTCTCCCCTCCAAATATTGACCAGGGCCGACCCTGCTTAGCTTCCAAGATCTGACGACATTGGGCTAGCCTGGGCTATCCAGCTCAAGACTAAGAAACGATGTCAAGTCCTAATTCCACTGTTTGGAGTGTAATCCTTCAATTCCCCTGTCTTGCCCACTTACGAGTTATAAATCTGTATCATTCGGGCATGTGCAATTACTTGTTCAATTCGCAATATAAACCTTATGGATAAAAGAGCACAACTTTGACGTCAATGTGGGGTGGTTGGGTTTTTTTTTTTGAGAACACAGACACGCTACTGGCCCGACTCACACGGTGCGTCCGACAAAGGAGGCTTTTGCTGAAAAAAGCACATGCCACGGAGAAGGCCTGGCCACAAGGCAAAGGAAGCCCACGAAGGAGGCAGCAGCAGAAAGGTGTGAGCCGAATTCACCACACGCACAAACACACATGAAGTGCACCCAACGCAACCTTCGTCCCACAATCGCTCCTCCTTTGACAGCCAGGGAAGAGCCCAGGTGCCGTATGAAACCATCGGAGCTAGAACGCTAGCCCTTTCTTGCAAGCTCCTCCCCAGCCGACCGAGCCTCTGAGACGGTGGCGGCGGCTTCCCAGATCGGCCGATCTTTTCAATGAGATGTTGTCGGCCACGTGCAAAAGTTCTATGGGCTCCTTCTAGCGCAATTCTCCCAGCTCCCAAAGGAGGAGAAAGAGTGAGATGGCGGCCGTACAGGTGGATCATGCGGGGGAGGCTGCGGAAGACGACCGGAAACGGGAGCGAAGACACAGCACCTGCGGCCACTGCCGAAGACATGCAAGAAGCAAGGGCAGGGGGCTGGCCGGGAGGGCGGCAGGATAAGCCAACCGGGGGGAGGGAAGGGTGCCGTGCTGGGGCCACAGGTGGCGAAATGGCTGTCCGCCCCCTGGCATGCCACAACAAACTAGACAGACTCGGAGGTGCCACAGGACTCTGTCTCAGAGAGAAATGGGGGAAGTACTGTTCATACCGTGAAAAGGTAAGGCTTTTGTCCGTTAGTGGACTAAGTCTTAGTCCTGATAAACTGCGCAGCCACTTTTGGGGGGGAAAGAAAGGGGGGGAAAGTTACAGAATTGAAAACATTTCTGCAGGTACGCTGTTTAGGGGGTCTCGTCAAGAAAGCTTCGCCTGGGCGCTAAAAACCGGCAGCATCAGAGCACGCAAATGACACTCGATAACGGTATTTCTGGAAAAACAGGGACTGTGCGGAAGGGAATCCCAATAAAGCAGGCGTCCAGGCTTTAGTAGAACCCCCCTCCCAAAGACCTCACCCACTGTACATCTGCCGCCGCCGCACCCCCCCCCGACAAAGATGGTCTTAAGAACGGCAGAAATCTCAGCAAAGGTTTGGCCGAAACCACTCCACCAGCATTTGAATGATTCACTGAGTAGCCAGCCTATGTTCCAGTGAAAGCACATTACCAATGGTCACAATGTATGTTTCCCCTGATTTACATGCACGGCATCTTCTTCAGGTGATGGGAGATGCCACCAAGCCCGACTACTTGGGATAGTGCCCCGAGACTTCCTGCACAGCCTCACGATGCAACTGGGGCCAGTCTGACAGTGCATGACCCGCGTTTCTGGGTTATTGGCCACAATGTACAGATGGAACACTCTGTCTGGGGCAGCGACGGTCTCTATTCTTGCTGCTTGGATGGCAACAGTGGGAGGGGCTTCTGGAGTCCTGGCCCCATTGGTGGACCTCCTGATGGCACCTGGGTTTTGGACACTTTGTAACACAGTGTTGGATGGGATGGACCACTGGCCTGATCCAACATGGCTTCTCTTATGTTCCTACGTCTGGGGCAGTGGTGTTCTGTATTCTTGGTGCTGGGGGGGGGCAACAGTGGGAGGGCTTCTGGAGTTCTGGCCCCACTGGTGGACCTCCTAATGGCACCTGGGTTTGGGCCACTGTGCGACCCAGAGTGTTGGACTGGATGGGCCACTGGCCTGATCCAACATGACTTCTCTTATGTTCTTATCTTCTCTGAAATCTTGGTGCTTGGGGGGCTACAGTGGGACGGCTTCTGGAGTTCTAGCCCCGCTGGTGGACCTCCTGATGGCACCTGGGTTTTGGCCACTACATGACACAGAGTGTTGGACTGGATGGGCCATTGGCCTGATCCAACATCGGCTTCTCTTACGTTCTCACTTGTCCCATTGCCATTACCTTCAATATTCACACACAAACATGGTAGAAGATGACACCTGCGCTGATTTCTGTTCTCTTTAAGCCGGCAAAGTCAGGAGAAACCTTTTGCCAATTTCACTGACGCCTCCTCCTTTTTAATTCCCTTTAAGGGCTGGGGTGTGGGGGTGGAAAGCGCCGTCAAGCTGCGGTCGATTTACGGCAGTCCTGTAGGGTTTTCGAGGGAAGAGACATTCACAGGGGGTTTGCCATTGCCTGCTTCTGTGTAGCGGCCTTGGGCTTCCTTGGTGGCCGCCCACCCGAATACTGACCAGGACTAGAGATGTGAAGGCCCGGGAAAAAAACCGGAAAAATTCGGGGAAAAACGGGTTTTTTCCCGTTTTTTCCCGGAAGCCTTTTTTGTTTTTTTCCAAAAAATTGGAAAAATTGAAAAAAGAAAAGAAACTTGATTATGGAACGTTTTATTTTAACATGATGTATAAAATATTTTAAGACAAGGTGTTCAAATATTTTCCAAATCATTTCTAATATATATATATATATGGTATCAGATTGATCTAATTTCTGTGCACTGAGGACAAGCAAGTCCTAGGTTACAAACTGAACTCTCCAATGCAAGAACAAGATGCATTTCTTCCTTTTGTCTGTTGTCACGAGAAAAGAAAAAGGCTTCAGTTTTGTTTTTGCATGTGGGCGGGTATTCTGTTTGTAATAACTGTTTGGATACACTATATTTTTAATATGCTAGTTGTGATAATTTCATGCCAAGTAAAAATGTCCATAGTCATATTTTATGTTCCTAAAGTAACAGAATGACTTTCAATCTAGAAAAGACAAAATAAATGCTAATGTAGCATTTTTTTTCAATTTTTCCGAAAACTTCCGTTTCCCCCCGAAAAAACCAGGTTTTTTTCCGACCTTCAAAATTTCTGGAAATTTTACATCTCTAACCAGGACTGACCCTACTAAGCTTCCGAGATATGGTAAGACTGGGCTAGCGTGGGCCACCCAGGCAGGGCTCAGGGCTGTCACGTACAAACTCCTAACAGAAATGTGAGGACTGCAGAGTATTTGAATATTTGGGCTCTCCTGGAGAAAGCCCTTTTGTTATTCTTGGACTCTTTTGCTCTCCCGTGAAAGCTTTGTTCTTCTGAACAGAGCCTTCTGCGGGGGGGGTGTGTGTGCAAATGGACAGGACCGGCAATCACACATACATATGCATTTTTTAGTTGCATGAGAAGGTCAGGAAGGTTCCCACACTTCTGTCATTCCGCAAAGTACGAAAAACAGATTTCTCCAGAAGGGCATTTTCAGAAAGTCAACAGGGCTGTATCATAACGGAATTATTCAGGAAGGGGCATTATAAAGTGAACGGGTCCAGATGGAAGTCCCGTCTCGCCCCTGATTCTCAAAAGTCTGGGACCTTTTTATAATAGAGAAAATTACGGACCACGTCCGATGTGTAGATCAGTTTCCAAAGACTTCCTTTTATGCGAAACCACATAAACAGATTTACCTTAAATTACTCTACACTTAAACCACACGTTCCTCAATTACCTTACACCTACAATATGCTGGTTGTGTAACACTAGGCTAAATTTCACACCATATAAGAAGAAGAGATTGAATTTATACCCCGCCCTTCACTTGGAGTCTCAGAGTGGCTTACAGACTCCTTTCCCTTCCCCTCCCCACAACAGACACCCTGTGAGTTGGGTGGGGCTGAGAGAGCTCTGAGAGAACTGCCCTTGAGAAAACAGCTCAGAAAGAACTTATCAGTGACCCAAGGTCACACCAGCAGCTGCATGTGGAGGAGTGGGGAATCAAGCCCAGATCTCCCAGATTAGAGTCCGCACTCCTAACCACTACACCACACTGGCTCTCTAATGAACTTACTAAGTTATACTAATGAACTAACTAAATTATGTTTACTTCATTTATACCTCACTCTCCTTCCCAATGGAGACCCGACCTGGCTTACAACAGTCAACGCTTTTCGGTTTTGTCCCCAAAACAACCCTGTTGAGGTAGGTTAGGTTGAAAGTTCATGACTGGTCCAAGGCTCGAGAGAATCCCGAGTCCTCAGATGCAAACTGTTTCTAACAGCAGGAGGAAAAAGAGGGCGACCAGCTTCACAGGGCTGTTGTGAAAATAAAATGGAGGGGGGGGAGATATACACCACTGTGAGCTCCAAAGAAGGAAGGCAGTAGATAGATGTATTAAGGTAATAAGAGAGGCATCAGAGGCACTTCGGCATCACGTGCGAATCCACTTCGGAGGAAATGAGGGTGGCCAACCTCACAGGGCTGTTGTGAAAATAGAATCAATTGTTTTAATTATTTTTAATTAATCTTATAAACAACCCGGAAAATCTACAGCAACTTATAAATACCGTTTACAGATACTGTTGTACCCGCCCTGAGCCCTGTTGAACAGGGGAGAGCAGGCTATAAATCCAAGAAATTAATAAATGAAATGAAGAAGGGGTGAACGATATATACACTTTTGTGAGCTCCTAAGAGGAAGGGAAGTATACAGATGTACTATCATCTCCAGAGAGGCTCAGGTGCCACGTGCGAATTTACTACTGAGGTTAAGGAGGAAAAGAGAGTGACCAATCTCACAGGGCTGTTGGGAAAATAAAATGGAGAAGAGGGGGAAAGATACATGCTGCCATTAGCTCCCTGGAGGAAAGGCAGCAACCAGCTTTACGAATGTAACAAGAGAGGCTCCAGAGGGGCTTGAGGCATTACACACGAGTCTACTTCCCAGGAAACAAGGGTGGGCCAGCCTCACAATCAATATACAACAATCAAGAAGGGGGGGAGCAACAGACACAACCCTGAGTGCCTCATGGTAAGGTTAGTATACAGATGCACTATTTAAAAAACAAACAAACATGTTTTAACTATTTATTTTTCTCTACTTCTTGTTTTTAATTGTTGATGTTTAAATATGATGTACACTGCCCTGAGCCTTCCAGGGCAGCGTGGTTTATAATAACAGCAATATAACGTAACAAGAGAGGCTCCTAGGATTACCAGTTCCCTTCTGGACACCGGCAGGGGATGGGGGAACAGGGCTGCCAGCTCCAAGATGGGAAACTCCTGGAGGTTTGAGGATGATCTGTGTAGTCTGGGGAGGAGCTGTAATTCCAGGCTATCCCCAGGTCCCACCTGGAGGCTGGCATCCCCAGCAGCTCCAGAGGGGCTTGACGAAGAAGAGATCAGATTTATACCCTACCCTTCACTACTCAAAGGAGTCTCAGAGTGGCTTAAAATCTCCTTCCCCTTCACCACAACAGACGCCCCGTGAGGTAGGTGGGGCTGAGAGAGCTCTCCCGAGGACTGCCCTGGAGAGAACAGCTCTGAGAGAACTTGTGACTGACCCAAAGTCACCTCAGCAGCTGCGTGTGAAGGAGTGGGGGGGGGAATCAAACTCGGTCGTCCCAGATCAAGAGTCCGCGCTCCTCGCCACTACACCAGACTGGCGTTCCCTGGGAATCCGCTTCTGAGGGGGGGAAAGCCAGCGGCCAACCTCGCAGGGCTGTTGTGAACTCAAAAGGGAGCCCGGGGAAAGCGACACACAGGCCACCCGGGAGGAAGGGCCGTCTGCAGCTGTACTAACTGAACGGGG